GGAATTGGGCATCCGTATGTAAATCACATCCAAGGCTCAAGGAAGATTCTGGAGTCACATCTACATGAGATCAGGAAATTTTTTGGCGCGATATTTTACCGGGTGGATACTTCCATAACTGTGTACTGCAGCGAAGTGCGGCGGTTGGATAACTGGCTGCCTCGTATCGTGTCGCAATTTTTTTATGGCATAAGCCGGTAGACGAGCATACGGATCACCTAATGGTAAGCAATCGGCGTCGCCCATGGATATCTGGAACACCAGGGGCGTTACAAGTGCGTTACCGGCCCTTTGGGGAATAGGAGTTTGAGGATCGTAGGGGATTCAGGAATTGGGGAGATTGGGGAAGGGTAGGGTAATTGGGCCCCCGGTAACCTCACTCATACGACGAAACACAACGCAAGCGTTGTGTCTCGTCGGTTTTCTGTGAGGCCGTGGTATCACTCCGGTCGAGCCGGCATTCGTGCGAAAGCACGGCTCTCCCACACTTAAAATCCAAAAAGTTTCAATTACAGTACGGAGTAACTCTTTGTGTGGTCCACATATTGGTGTTCCGGGTCTGGGTGTCATGTGTATGTGAACTTGTATGTTTGTCAACGCACCCACGACCCAGGAGAAAATCCCAGTGTGGAGTAACGTTTAAAAAAATATCCATAAACTTTTTTGTTACAGTACGTTAAATAAATCCGCGCTTATTTGCTGGCAAACTCTTGGTCTGATTCAAAAGAAACCGCAGGTAACAGCTAGTATTCCCTAAATCTGCTACGTTACATTACACACGTCTTTCTAGTATACATCCAATATTGTTAATTACCCTCCGCAACCTTGACATCGTTGCGCCAAGCAATCTCAGGCTTTATTTAGTTAGACACAAACATTATAATTAAACCTCTAAATAGATAGTTTAATGGATGGCAATAATTATCTAAGGAAATTAGACGAGCTTCGTTAGACTATTGGCGTTTTGAGTAAGATTATGTAACAATTTAAAGTAGTCTACTTTGGTTTATGACGCCGGCCTACCGACGGCAAGCACCAATGTAATTTTTTCCGAGTTATATGTATATACATACTTTCTAAGATTATTTAGACACCATTGACAAACGGTGAAGGCAAACATCGTGAGGAAACCTGGGCTTATAATTTCTAATTATAAGATTGAAATCGCCAACCCGCATTGAGTAAGCGTGGTGATTAACCGTGTCAGTAGTGGTCACTTATAAGCTGTTGTTAGTTGTCAACTTTATAGAGTATATTTTAAGAGCATAATGTTTAGAGAAAATATTGTTTGCACGTCTCAAATTGACTCTGAAAGTACCAGATTGATATTATAAATTCCCCATTAGTGATTAACTCACTCACTATGAGAGATCAACATTTAAAAAACTTTTCCGATTGAATATCCACCAGAAAAAGTATCTAATAACTAATTTTATCTACCGTCGGAAGATTTGTAGCTAATTCAATCCAACTAAGAGTAATGCAGAGGCGACATTGCACCATGACATAGGTTTCGTAACGTTGCGTTTGTGCGGACATGAAAGAATTAAAAAAAATCTAGTAATACTTTGCCCGACCCGGAAACTCAGCAATCGCACTTGCGACCACTCGGCCAATGAGGCAGTCTAGTCAGGACTTTAACTAATTGATTTATTACCCGATCCCTACAGTATTTACATCCAGACAAATCGATTAATATACGACAACAGCAAATAAACAACAAAATAAATAAACTTTGAACAATAACTCACTTCACACGCTACCTTATCAGTGGTCTGCGTGTTGTACGCTGGTATGATGGTCAGATCCTTAGCCTCGATCCTCCACAACACAGACGCCAACTTCTGCTCATATCTGTAGTGACGTACGAGGAGTGCTGCAGCCAATATGGCGGCTGCAGCGACTGCAGCAGCTGCTGACAGCACCCCAGGGTCATGAGGTAGGGAGCACTTGATGCCGTCGAAGCCACATTCTGGCTCGGCAACTGGTGGGCTTCCTCCAATCCAGGCTATGTTGTTCGCTCCCACTAGTTCCTGTGACAAAAGATTAGGCTTAGTCATCTATACAGATAAATAAAATTAGATTGCCTGTTTGTAGTATAGAAATAACCGTCTTTTACTGCATGCATATACATATTATACATATGATACCTATACCAAAATATCAATTTTTATTTTTATTTTCTGTCTGTCTGTACTGGATAATCTCTGAAATGGCTAGACCAACTTTGACAGACTTTTTTGGCAAGTAGCTGATGTACTAAGGAGTAACACAGACTATTTTATTTTGGGAAATTGAAACAAAAAATATTATGTTCTAAAACTCTTATTCTACGCAGATGAAGTCGCGGGTATCAGCTATTGTAAGGAAGATCCGTAAAACCATACACTATACATACTACTTGTTCACCGTTTAATAAACATGTGTTGTATTGGTACTATTGTGGTCGATATAATACTTATAGTTGTAATGACATAATATAAACATGTAATTAGTGACTGTAGGTTGTGCTTAGCATATTATTATAGGCCGTTTACCCTAGAAACGATGTGACTTTCGAGTTTGCTGGTAGGAAGTAAACTATTGGAACGTTAGTCATTAGCAAATCTATCGCATAAATTAGACCAAAGGAACTGTTAGATGATTGAAAATAGAATAAAATATTAAGTCTTTATCTCTGTTTTGCACCTTAATAATTTAGTATATTGCTAGAGTTTAAATGGAACACTCTCTTTACTCTTAAACTTACGAGGAACTAGTCCTAGAAGCAAAGAAAGAAAATTTCGTGAAAATAAAAGCGTACCAATCATTTGTATTTGGTTAGGTAAGTAGTCAGTAGTCAGTAGTGTCAGTCGATCGAAAATGGATTATCTTGGATACGTGTCGGGAATTCTGTAGTGGAACGAAAGGAAACATGAGCCTTAAGTATAATTTGGTGGGTATATTGTTCTATTTGAGATGTGGTGGCTCGGAGGCTTAAGACGCCCACTCTCATGCATGAGGGTGCGGGTTCGAAACCTACCAACCGCAAGTACCAATGTGACTTTTTTCGAGTTATATGTACTTTTTAAGATTATTTAGACACCACTGACAATCGGAGAAGGTAAACATCGTGAGGAAACTTAATCTTATGAAATCTATATATGTCGTACATACCTATGTTATATAAATAAATATTCTGATTTTGATTACACACACACACTCACACACGCACACTCACACATACACATAAATCTTCACAAACTTTCGCATTTACAGTATAAAAGTAAGATAGATAGTATACAAATGGGTTGTTTCTAGACTCTGATATCTTCAAACAAAACCTTATAGAAAGGAGTTGAAATTCACAGATATATTATAACTTTGTATATTATTGTACAGTCTCGGCACTAGGTCTTTTGAAGCCTTAGTACTTAAAAGAAACGAAATACCTTAAAGCGAGACATTTATAAATGGCAAACCAAGCTACCTAACGTTTTACCGGTAACGAAACCATACCTGAACATATATCTAGGCCAACGCCATCTATCGAGCTACAGGACAACTCACACTAAATTAATTTTAATTAGTAGTATGGTGTTGGCTGAGTGCATTTTTTTACGGCATAAGCCGGCAAACGAGCACACGTACACGTAATGGTAAGCAATCGGCGTCGCCCATGGACACCTGGAACACCAGAGGTGTTACAACTGCGTTACCGGCCTTTTGGGGTTAAGGAGTTTGAAGATCGTTGGGGATTCAGATTGGGGACGGGAAGGGGGTTAATTGGGCCTCCGGTAACCTCACCCACACGACGAAACACAACCTAAGCGTTGCTTTACGTCGGTTTTCCGTGGCCGTGGTATCACTCCGGTCGAGCCGGCCCCTTCGTGCCGAAGCATGGCATTCCCACACTTAAAATGTATCTTTTACAAACATTATTTCTACATTGAACAACTTACTAAGTATATCTACTTATCCCTGCAGGAAATAATAAGCTAGATGGTAGTTATTTGGGTAAATTTGGCGCAGTATTAAGTAAGTTTGCGATACCCAAAGTTAATACAACGATGGAGAGTTTCCGCAATCTATAAACACTAGTTTGACAACTGTTTAAGACATCAATTGGCTATAGAAATTAGAAGTATGAGAATGACGGAAACTTCAGTATTCAGTAAAACTAATTCTGTTAGGGACATATTTCGTTTAATTGGTTTTAACTACTCAAACTTTTTAGGGTATTTATTTGTGTAGGCGACAAGCCTTGGTTTTTATTGCGCAATAGACTGACTGACCCAAAAATATGAATAAAACAACCCATTTGAGTACATATATTAAACTTGACACGGTCGACTACCTCATTGGCCGAGTGGTCGTAAGTGCGACTGCCGTGCAAGGGGTCTCGGGTTCGATTCCCGGATCGGGCAAAGTATTACTGGGCTTTTTAAAAATCTCAGTAGTAGCACGGAGTCTGGAAATGTGCCCGGTATATGGCAATAGGCTCACCCCTTAATACATGGGACTCATAAACATAAATAGTGAAAAGTGGGTGTTACATTGTACAGTGGCATAATGTGCACCTGTGCCTACTCCTTTGGGGATAAAAGGCGTGATGTTTCGTTATGTTATAACCTAATATGAGGTTTTTTAACGTCATTCAAATATTTTAAGATAAGACGTGTCAGTCTCTCATATAGTCCGCCGTCATATTATTACGTGCATTACTTTCTACTCCTTCAAGTATCGTTTCGAATTTCATACTGACTGCATAAAGACTAAAAAAGTAAGATAAAAATAACAACAAAATGACGTTTTTTATGAAATAGCAGGCAAACGAGCAGACATAAGCGCCGCCCATGGACAACAACACCAAAAGAGTCACAGGTGCGTTACCGGCCTTTTAAAACGGATTACGCTCATTTCTTGAAGGTTTCAGGGTCGTATCGGTTCGGAAATGCCAGTCACGATGGATCATTCCACGTGCTAATAATTTGATGATTATTTATAATGTGTATACTAACCGGTAGAAAATCTGATGCGTTGACATATCGGAAAGTGGCCACTGGCTGAGCAGTCCATCCGCCAGGTACGCTGGAGTTTGCCACTAATCCTATTACTGTGAAGTTTCCTTCGGCATCACCAGCACTGTCCATGTTCACCTGTGGAAGAACAAAGACTGGTTAAATACATTCACTGGTAATGTGAGTGCTACAAAATAAAATATTACAATATCATTAACAGCTTATAATAAGTGGCCACTGCTGAGGCACCAAAGACCTATTCTTACGCGGAGAAGGTTTGAGCATTAATCGTGGTGACGCTTGCTCAGTGCGGGTTGGCGATTTCAAATTTATAATTAGAAATTATAAGCTAAAGTTTCCTCACAATGTTTTCCTTCACCGTTTGTCAGTGGTGTCTAAAAATATTCTTAGAATGTATATATAACTCAGAAAAAGTCACATCGATACTTGCTATTGGTAGGTTTCGAACTCGCTTCTCATGCTTGAGAAGCGGGCGTCTTAAACCTCCTTGCCACCACGACACCGACACGAACATAAAATATTAAAGTAGGATCTATAGTAGATATAACCATGAAAACACCTGAACACTGAAGTCCGGCGCGTCCCCGGGACTTGACTAACTGTCGTGTCTGAAGTGAATCAGAAGATATTATAAAAATAATGTCCACTTCCCTTGGTGAATTACTGCAGGAGACAGAACGAATTAAGCCTGAAGGCACAAAAAAGAGACTGTACAACTGGGTGAAGCCCAGTCGCCAAGCACCACGGAAATTTGACTAAAAACTAAGTGTATCCTATGTGTGAGCTGTTATACTTGGTTACAATAATAGTTATGACAAAAGCGCCTAAACGCACGGAAATTTGGTCTAGATTCCACAAGGTCCGTATAATTAGCAACACCTGATGAAACAATTAAATTATTTAATTAAAAAAATAAATAATATTAAAGAAATAAGAAAAATATAGATCATCAGGTAAAGTCCTAAGAGATCTGGTCAGACCGATACCCGACTGGATCTGAGAATTACCGTATTACTGTGGCTACAGCTCAAAGAAGGAGTTGGAATGGGTGGTGTCTAATCAGGATGTGTCTGACAGTCCCTATCGCCTCACCCAGGGCATGACGAGTAATTTGATAATTTTCAACGTCAAAAAGAAGGTTTGCTTCAGACAAATCACCATGCCTTTTTTCTTTTAAATAATTGGGTACTTGCCAACTAGTCAAATTCAATACTTTTTTCGAACTGTCAAATACGTCAGTTTCCTTTGAATTTTGTACGAGATTGTGTATTAAGACGTCATGTTTTTTTAGCGTCAAACAGCATACTTATTTCTTAATATGTTGCTGGAAAAATACTAAAATTAAATCTTATATATATATGTATAAAAGAAAGTCGTGTTAGTTACACTATTTATAATTCAAGAATGGCTAAATCGATTTGGATGTAAATTGGTAGGGAGGTAGCTTAAAACCAGAAGACGGACATAGGATACTTTTTACCCAATTCTTTTTTTTTACTTTTTACCGAAAATCAAGAACGGGAACGGGAAATATTGGGATTGCGCGTACGAAGTCGCGGGTAGAAGCTAGTTGGTAATAAAATCAATTAATGAATATGTAATTGTTTTTTAATATTTTATTGTATTGAACAGTTGAAATAATTTATTTTTGATTAAGGAAATTACCTAATTGTAACGAACGCGAGAAGCACAGAGATCGATGTTAAACTCCTTGCTACTATCAAGAACTTTCTATTGAAAACTCTTCTCATTAAGTATTTAGGGACTGAAGTTAGAAATCAAAGTTCAATAGGTACAAACAGCTACCCATCAAGCTATGCAACACCAGTATAAATTGACCGTTGAATGTAGTCAAAGATAATATAAAGCGAGGCCATGATAAGCTGGTTCTGTTAAGCTTGATGTGTGGTTGTGAATGCTAATAAACATGATTGATTTATTCTGCGAATTTATCGGCAGTAAAATGTAAGGAATTCTATAAATGAATATTATGTTCAATAGGGAAGCTCTTTAATATCTTCATTCCTTTGAGACACAGTCGGCTTAGTGTTACTTTACACAGTCATCATTCATCATAGTATTAATTCTGTCTTGGAAAGGAGTATCTTTAACATTGAGGTGATACTTCCAAGAAAATCATTCATTATAATTTGTATTAAAATAAAATAATTTCATACTGCCTCGTTGGCCTAGTGGTCACAAGTGCGACTGCCGAGCAAGGGGTCTAGGGTTTGATTTGAAATTATTTGAAAGGCCCTGAGCCTTTAGCCAAACGCCACTTTAGCGCTTGTCTACAGAGAGAGTAGAAATCAAAATGTATGGGGATGACAATTCCATATGATAAGGTTTTCTATTTTACATGTAGACAAACGCTAAATAGCATTTGGCTACAGCTGCTGGTGTGTGTACAGCACATCATATTAATAAATAAATACAAGTTAAACCCATCCGAATATAACTTAACAATCTACCAACATAGCAAAAGGAGCATGTCTACTTTTACGGCCTCTTGCGAAATGAAATAGCCGAATTTGGCGCAATGCTGCACGGCTGGCGCAGTGTCTAGGTGACCTGCATCATGACACGATGCTTGTTTATTTATCTATATATAGTATACTCAGTGAATTGCCGGATTCTTTGAAAATTCTCAGTAATAACCAACCAAGGTTATGCGATTTCTGTATGAATACATAATTAATAAATTCCAGTTGGAATATGTGAGACCTATGTACGTTGTTTTTATATACGTGTTGTCCTTTGTGTTGTATGTGTGTACATAAATAATAAATAAATAATTCGTTGTATGTTTCAAAAATATTTCAGTTGCTATATCAACCGCAACCGTGGTCGCGGAGAACCTAACGGGTTACCGGGGCTCCGGCTCGAAGTGCAGGAGTAGGAACGGGGTGGTTTTTAGTCAGTAAGAGTCTGACACTCCCTCCCGTCTCACCCAGGCGGGAGCAGTCATTCGTGATTTTTTCCCCTTAAAAAAACCAACCGCTTGAATAACTTTGCATAGAACACACAATAGCAATACACTGTGTCTCGCGTGGATTCGCGTTTAGGCACACGACGCAATGGGTTAAAAGACGGCCAACACATTTATGACTCTTCTATTATTGATGGCGTGCATAGGTTGCACTGATAACCTGATAGCTTACAATAAGGTCATGTGTCTGTTTTATTGTCACTTTCGAGTATCGTCATTATAGACACAATTAAAGAACAATAGGTTGCAGTCACCGGTGACCGCTCGGTGTTTGACAGTTTAATAAGACCCAGTCACAAAGAGTTAATAAGCTTATATCTCCATTTAAACTGTCAAACACCAAGCGGTCACCAGTGACCGCGACCTATTGTTCTTTAATTGTGTCTATAAAACTGGTACTCGACGAGTTAAATACTGCACGGTTGGCGCGTTGGCGAGGCAACTTGCTGTCGTGCAACGTACCGCGGGTTCGATTTCGATTCCCGCACGAAGCAACTCTTTATGTGATCCACAGATTGTTGTTCCGGGTCTGGGTGTAATGTGTATGTGAAATTGTATGTTTGTAAACGCACCCACGAGACAGGAGAAAAGATTAATGTAGGGCAATGTTTTTTTTTAAAAACACGTTTCATTGGTTTCCATTCCAATGTCTTAATAGCTGTTTTTTCTCGTAAACCAGTATGACAGTTGTAAAAATAAAAGAAATTGCCTGAGCGACGGTGACGACGTGGCGAGTGATAAACCAGACGGCATTAAAGGACGAATTGGATAGAAATGTATCTAGATTTAATAAGTACTGTTTAGTATTTATGGCGGCATGTTTTAGAATTTTTATTTGGTCCATTACAACCTTACTTTATCTTTATGTATGTTTTTTTTCTTTTGAGTCAGCTATAATCTTGTTGATGCCTAAACCAGAGAAGTTTGTGCTTCTGGCTATATAGACATATTTCGTAAAATGATCGTAATAATGATCGAAGTTTTCTAGCTAAAATTTTTGACTCATAGCCCAAAGTATATCATAACTCGTTACTTCCACGCGGTTTGACTTACTCTGTGATGTTTTATAGCCTTTTTTAATAAGTGGGATCATTCCCTTCCTCCAACACAGAAATATTTTTTCAAATCGGGCTAGCACTTCCTAAGATCAGCGCGTTCAAACAAACAAACAAGCAAACAAAGTCTTTAGCTTTATACAATAGCTTTATATTTTATATGAAATTATTCGATTAATGGGACATAAGGGACCAGAAGGTCCATCTACTCACTTCTGTTTTTCTTTAGCATTTTTTTTTACAAAATGACGAAAATGTAATGAAAATATTAACAGATTGTAGTATCTTGACCGGTTAACCACGGTACCGATTAGTTATTTCTCTAATCTAATTATTATCACACACGTGTCAACTAACTACGCCTCAACATATTACAATATTCCTGTACAATACATTATATTAAACAATGTACTGGTATTATTAGGCGGCCTATACACGAAACAACTTCAGTTGCCGTAACAATAACAATAAGGTTGAAAACTCTAAAACTTGATAAAGAGAGACTTGTTTAAATTTCATTGAATGTTCTCTTCTGAATTTGACTATATTCACAAACGTATGTATGTAAATTATATTTCTTATTGCTAATGAACTTTGTCCACGTAGAATGAATTTGAATTTCGAACACAACTATTTTTATTATTAAAATTTCCAAAATATAAGTAGTGTATGTTATGCGTTAGTATATTATTTGCTTACTGCCAACTTAGTATCTTACTGCCAATAAAAGTCAATTCAAAATCGGTCCAGCCATTCCAGAGATTAGCCAGTGCAAACAGACAGACAGACAAAAATTCTAAAAATGTTATTTTGATATTTTTATCATATGTATATTCATATGCATGTAGTAAAACGCGGTTGTTTTAATATTAATTTTATTTAATTTTATTTAACTGCATAGATTAATTAGGCCTTTACTCTTGCGGAGTAGATGGATCAATAATATGAATAAGTTTTTAGTGTTAACCTTATGTTACACATGCTATTTTTAAACACGACAGCATGTTTCAATTGATCACTCGCCGCATGTGTGTCGGAATATTGCTAAAAATTATCAAGCTCATTTTGGGCA